TGAATACTTACTAAACACAATACATGCTCAACTTGAAGGCCACACTTCAGCATGTCCAGTGCTGTTGAACCTCCATCTGAACAAACAAGTCTGTGAACGGCTTAGTGTTTTATGCACCATCCCTCAGCTGACCCAGGCCCTGGGGCTTATGTTGACCTGAGAGAACAGTCTGTGTACCCTTCTCTTTGTTTACTGCTGTATTCCGTCACTGCAGTGTCAGTTTCATAACTTCAGGCTGCTACAGTGACATTGTTATAATTAGCAGAGAATTGAATTACTTGTTGCTTTAGACTGCCACCTTGAATTAGTCAAACTGCAATTAAGTTTTCAATCTTTAATTACTTACTGATTTTGAAGTGGTTTAAAGTATTCAACAATTATAATCTAGTGTTTATAAACATGAATATATTTCCAATATTGTGGGGTCTACCTCCAGTGTTTTGGGGTTCCTTTTATTTGTTCCAATCATTTTCCCTAAGACCTCATAATACATTAATGTTTGCAGAGGGCTCCATTGTGTCTTGAAGGAAATGTTCTTCCTTTGAGACACAATGAACATTCTTGATAGTCACTAACAAAAAATATAAACTAAACCAAATATATTAAACTGGCAGATAGAAAATTAAATAGACCTCATTGATGGTTCAGAAAGACATTTTTATAAAGATACGACAGGTACTGTAAGTCCTAAACCAAATATATTAAACTGGCAGATTTTGTTTTTGGTTGAAACTTTAATTGTAGAGAACCTACAATAACATAGTTTCACAAGTGACTTCATTATGGCTTAAGGCTGACAAACTAAACCTAAGCTAAAAGTCACAGTGTACGTAGAGGATTAATGAAAGGATTAAATGACTTTTCAGAAAGAGGATATCGTTACTAATCACATTTACATCAACAGTCATGATTCAACAGAAACTGTTACAGTAAAGCTTAATTTCAACTTCGACTTGAATCCTTAAATATGAAGTGTTCAGAGGCTTTACCCAGAAACATTCATCAGCACTAAGCACATTTTCAGGCAGGGAGTGTCACCTTAAGGCCAAGTAGCTTCATCTGCATCTAATCACCTTTGTTTGGTTTTCGGAGCTGTCATCAGTGGGGGATTCATCAGTGGTATCTGTTGCTCCTTGGCCTATAGAAGTGAGGGCAGGGAAGGTGCATTCTGCGGAGTTTTAAAGAAATATAGTGCCATATTTTGTCCTTACAACAAAGTGATAGATATCGTAAAAACAATGGAGAATATCTGCTTGTATTAGGCTATGCATTTGGTCATTGAAAATGTGAAATGTAATGAGATGTCATCTGAATCATGTCAAGACAACTTTTGAACTAGTAGTTCCCCGTAATCTATTTAAAAAGCGTACTCTGAGCTTTATTAAAACTCTGATGTTAAAGATATCCTCATCATTTTTGGGAAAGGAGTCACTGGTCATATGTACTATGTAGTTACTGTTGCCTGTGATTTTCTGTGAGGCCCTGGATGAATCTGTTTTTTAAGCAGCTTAGTGCACTACTGCCTTTGTCTATAAAATGTTGGGTTTGTGTGTGTCTTTTCATGGCTAAGCTAAATCTCCCTGCATGTTTGTGTCCAAAGTGATGGGTTTATTTATAATACGGTGGAGTCCGTATCACCAAGGATTTATCTTTGGAAGTATCTTAAGATTTTTCAGTTTACCTAACATGCTCAGGCATGAACTTATACACTGTTGGAGTTTGCCCCTGGTAAAATTTGAACTTTCTGGGGGTAGCTTTGTCGCACACTTAAGTGCCAACTTGTAGTAATGCCTTTTAAAATAAAGCTAAAATGACATACAGTATGCACACGTGTATTTTCCTAATTAGAGATATTTTCAGTAAGGACGACTCTTTTAAGCAACATCAGTTCTGACTACTATCCCTTTCAGTCTCCAGTCTCCGGCAATTACTGGGCAATCACATAGACGGTAGAACAGAACCTCCTTGGATAGACTTTATCTGAGAGTGATCAGTGCAAACATTGTTGAACCTTGGACGTGTTTTGTCTCGTTTAGAAAAAAGCTTGAGGCAGTATGGAAAAGGTTAACCTTTAAAGATGCAGTCCTACTAAAAATCTTAAGTTGCTTCTTTTTTTTTTCACAATCAGTCATATTTGCCACATACAAAAACAACTACATCACTAATTTAGCTGCATTTGTTTGATCACCAAATACTGGGTGTGGTGACCGCACATGTTACATCTCCTCACTCCATCCCATTTTTTTTTAGCTGGAATTTTAGCTGTGCCCTGTTTGACTTACTCACAGTAACAGTTGCTGATGCTGACAGTGCGATACCACTAATGATGTGTGGTCTCAGGTATTCCTGTTGTAATTGACTTCAAAAGGGTGTAACGTAGAGTAGAGAGGGGTGTGGATGTGTGTTGTCCAAACTGTGTTTATGCTCTTTATAATGTTCCAAATGGGTTTACAATGATGACTTGGCTTTTCATTGCTGATGAGCCACAGTGTTAGTCATGTCTGCTCAGGTTATGTCAAGTCTAAGACCTGTGGCAGCAAAACTCTTTGCACAAAGCAGTGGTGATGTAACACAGGCCTGGTGGAGTGATGTTACATCATACTGAGTCCTGGTTGTCAGGTCTCTGTGTCCTTCATAATCAGGCCTGACAACATGTGAGTAGAAATGAAAACTATCACCGTAGTAGGAAAATGATTGAATGGACTGATGGGTTTAGTGTGTGTTTGTGTGTGTGTCTGTGTGTGTGGTTGGGTATTTTGCAGTGACATTGTCCAAGCATGTGCTGACAGCAGCAGAGGACATTAGAGTCCAGTCCTCTGGGCCTGCTGCTGGAATGTCACATGCCACTGTAGGAATGTACATTTTAATTGTATAGTACGTTAGAGCCTGGTCACCTCGTTGTGGGACTGTTTATCTACAAACAAAGACACACTCATTTAATTAGTCATCATGCTGGGAATAGGAAGGGAAACCACAGGGCAGGGTAGTCCCTTACCTTCTGCCAGTATTTTCTTCGGTCTGGAATGTGCACTTAAATTCTAAGAAAACAGTAATGGACAGTTCTGCTGTGTTTTTGTGCTGGGATTCTTCTCAGACATGGCAGGTCATCCCTACCTCCCCCTCCAATGTTCCCTCACCTCTGCTCCGCTGTTCTAGTCTCTCTATTTCTGCCACCTGTCTTATGAGTTAGTATTTATATCAAGATAGACACAGATGTACAGAGGGACAGAGTTGGCCTAACTTTTAGATACTGTACCTACATTGAAAGCTATTGTAGAATAAGTGGAATTAATAAATAGTTAAAGAGAAGCTCCATATTTCCCCTGAGACCTTTTTGTTTTACGTGCTCGTGTTGTTTAGCAACTTCTAAGCCATGGTCAACAGAGTAGCATCATAATTAATCATTTAAAACCTGCAAGATGAGAAGCAGGATTGGATGGCAACTCTCCAGTATGTGGTATTTAGTCACACCTAGTGGTGATGCTTTAGAATGCATTTGAGTACTCACTGTCATCCTTTACTGGAATTGTATTATTAGTATGGTATTAGTATTATTATAATATTAATATCTACATATATATATCTTAATTAATAATATATATATTATATTATATTTTAACATAAAATTAAACTCCATGCAAGGATTTATTTATATCATTTCCATCTTGTGGTAACAAAGTAAATCTTTCAAGATTCATTTCTCTATACTGAAATAACACATGAAGTCAAACAGAGGTCCTTGTGTCTGCATCCTGCTGCTGACTCATGTTTTGTGTAGACTCCTGTGATGATGGACTCTACACAAAGCACTTCCTCTCCCTGCACTGAAGCCTCTGAGCAGCGTTTCAGCCGTGCAACAACCTGCACAGTCTTTCTGTTTCTGTTGAGTGGGTTGAAGATAAGGCTAATAGGGTCTTTGCTTGTACATGTGACAACTCCCACACTCGCATTTATTTTACAGCATACTTTGTTTGCACTCTACATCACTTGGACGTTTGCTCCCTGGAATACCACGGGCAGCCCCTGTCAAATAATGGAGGCTTTGTGTAACTACAAGGTTTTTCTGAGGCCGGTGGAGCCGTTTCTGGTTCTCTGGCGCCATCTTGAGGTCACATAACTGAAGTGGCTGTGGTCTACATTACTGTAGAGCTCCATCAGATTTGTGGTCTGGCATCTGCTGTTCTGGGGTTTGTCCTTTGTGTATGGGGCACAATCTGCTGCTGGGTGGGGAAGAGTGTGGTTTGTTCTTTCAGTGATTCGGTTTCGTCATGTTCCCTGTGTTAGTAGGAAGTAGATAAATAGACACAGACACAATGTGAGCATATATTAGAATATTTTGTGTATTATTCAACAGTACTCTTTAAAAATATAGTTATACATTTTCCTATTTTCATTTTGTTCTTACATAATACATACATATGTTTTTATCCACAACTTAATTTGATCGTTTTATTTTTTTCTCAATTTTATTTACCTGTTTACCTACCCTTTCTTCTTTTTCCTTTTCTTTTACCTCTTCTTCTTGTGTTTCTTATCCACTGTGATCTTTAGCACCCTTTTATATATGTTAGAGTCAGGTGACCTTTTGTTCAAAAACATTTCTATTGTTTCCAGGCATTTTAAAATAATGTTTTCTATCTATCTATCTATCTAATCTATCTAAATCTATCTAATCTATCTATATCTGTCCTCATAAAAATATCTTAAAATAGCTACAAAGACACTTGTTTCGCCCGGGTTTTTTGTTTCTCACTGCAACACTATGCTTCTGCTTTTCTCCTTCCTCCTTTTCTCCTCTGTTGCACTCAACAGTTACACACAGGAAGACACTACAACAACAGACATCAGTAAAGATGATGCTGCTCTAATATGGTTTTAACTGACACTATTGGGTAAAAAACGAAAACCAAGTGGAGACTGTGTGACTTTTAGGTGGTACCAGTCTGCGGGATGATGACGGAACTGCGTGTACAGGTATGTGTCTTGACTAACTAACTAGAATAAGTAGGCAAAAAAAAAAAAGTAATTAAAAGCCGTCATATTACAGCCCCAGCATTGAAGAGTCAGGGTCTAACAAGTCAGACTGACAGTAATCTTAGTCAGCATGTTTAGAAAGTGATATTCCTTGGAATGTCTTGCTTGAACATTTCTATTTAATCCCTACTGTGTGTAACGTGGGAATTATGTTGTACACAAAGAGCAGCCTAGAAATCCGAACATTACTGGGGAGTTCTGAGGGTTCTCTTGTCCAATAACGAGGAATTTCTAGCTAGCTTCGAAGTACTTTGTACAGTGAATAAAACTTCAAATCTAAACAAACTTGGGTCTGTCAACTGTGTCCCATTACCACCTAAAGTTCCAAAAAACACAATATTGCAACGTTGACATAGAAAACGAGTGGGATGCTCTCAGTTACAGCAACAGATCCTACAAGAAAGGTCTCTCTTTTACACACAAACACACACTAGGAGACACACACACACATTAGGGCAGCAGAAAAGACAGCAACTGTGGAACCATGTGTTGAACACGGCAGCTGCTGATTGGCCTGTGGAGGTGTCTGTGGGAGTCGATGGCAGACCTGTGCTGGACGCAGAGCAGAGCCTCCTATTTTTACCCACACTCAACCCGATTATAACCCAACAGCTGTCCCCACATCTCTTGTCTGTCCCCTGTCAGGAATAGCCGGCCCATAAGAGGCCTCACCCCCTCTCTAGCTCTAGCACTGCTGTCTCTCTCTTTCTCTCTTTTTGTCCCCCTCTCTCTCTGGAAACTTATACCGGCTTTTTTACGTTTGTCTGCTTCCTGATTTTCTGGGTGACACCTGAGGAAATACAAGCATTGTGGAAATACTTCAAAGCAGGTACAATCTTTTTTGGACGGACAGAGAGTTTGGCAGAGATATTCTGACTATGGAGCCCTGTGACTCTAACGCTGGTGGCACTAAATATAGCCTGGTAGTGGCGAGCTAGAGGGCAGCATAAGTGGCTTTTCAGCTGATAATCATATTTAAGAGGAAAATTAGCTTTTGTGTCACTTGTCAATGACCTATCCATTTAAATAATTTATAATTGTAATTGAATAGGAAGATGTGAAATGGTTGCTCAGCTAATGATGGTCAGTTCAAAGTGGACTTTTTTGTGCTCTAGGCCTTCGTTTGGTTTATTTTTTTCAGTTAAACTTGGTACTTACTTCAGTGGACAACTCATTCTTCAGTTAAATCCATTTGATTCATATATTTTGTGATTTGTGCCTCTTTTTTTTTTAGAAAACGTTTGTACTCCTTAATAGGGGTTAAATTGTTTAAGAAATTATTTTGCTGATGTTTGACATTGTGTTGATCAATGGGTCTAAAATAATTGTGATTATTCAAGTAAAAAGACCAAAATGTAGCTTAGCTTAGCTGTTCCCAAAAGGAAAATTGAATAGAATAAAATAACCAAAGACAGTCTGTGGTGTCAACGACCAAACTACTATCAAACAGATCCTGAAAGATTGTTTTTGTGTTCTGTAATAAAATATACGTTAAACAATTTTGTGTTCTGTAATAAAATATACGTTTTTTTACGTTTTTTTTTTCCTGGTTAAAAATAAAATGATTGTATCATACCTTATAGCTCTCATCTACGGAGCATCATAAGGCTATTATAGTGCTGATGTCATTGCTGTTTCTTTTTTACCATCACTGGTCCACGTGTTACAACAATTCTTCAGTAAATATAAGCAAAGTGTATTGCTGATACAAGTACTCTATGAAACTCCACAGGAACCTCAGAACGACAAAAACACAATTCATTTTCATGAAGTTAAAATGAATTTAATCTAAGTCTTGGAGAACGTTTAATCCCATTTTCTATACATTCTATATCCCGATTATGCAACCTTATTCCATTATGAAAAACCAAATGAACAAATAAGTAAGGCAGTTTAAGAAACAAAACCAATTTAAATACTTTTTTAGATTTTTACACTGAAACGTGTGTTGTTTCAGGTCTGGTGTCATGTATTTAGCAGTGTTGCCAATGAATAGGTGTATGTGGAAGGTCTTCTAGTAACTTCTGTTACTTTGGTGGCCATGTGCTGGGCTGGCAAAGTGTCTCGATTGTACTCTATCAATTCCATAAATAATTCTGTTGGTCATTGTGCTAATTCAGTGACCACTCTGTCCTGGGAGATCATTAATAAACTGTGTTTAATTAGCAGATGAGTCAGATGACAAAGGGCAAAGTCAGAGTCAATTTCCACCTCTGTAGAAAAAGAAAAGAGAATGTCTTCATATCTGTCCTCACTACTGTAGACGGTTGTGATTGTAACACTGTCTATTTGTGGACGTGAGTTGATAATTTACAGGAAACAACCGAGGTGTTGTGAGGCTTTCATTGTACAATTGTGTTGAAACACTCGTCCTGTTGTGTCTTGTACGTTTGATTCAAGAAGACATCACTGATGCAACATTGATTTGAAATTTCACACAGGCACCGTTAAATCAGATCTTATTGCTTATGGCGATGGGATTTATCGATGTCACAAGAATTGCGACAAGACAATTTAGTTTTGATTTGGTTGTGAAATTCCATCCTTTTTTTTTGTGATATAGGTGATGCCTAGTGAACTAAAATCTGACAGGCCCTTTGTTGTTTCTTCTTCATTTTGAAACATTTTGACTACAATGTATCATGGCAACAGTAAGAAAATTTCTCAGTAAGAAAAAGTTCTTATCAACTTAATACTCATATTCTGACATTCTCTGGATCAAGTTTGTTTTAGACAATGGCAGGTTCAAGTGTTGGCCCCTGGGAACTGCTAAAATTGCCTTCTGCACCCCACGGATGGGTCATTGCCTTCTTCTTCCTCTTCTAACATTATATTTATAAGCAGAAACAACAATGCAATGCCATATTTCTCTTGGCTAAGAATGTTGTTTTAATGAAACATATGCTACCATTAGGATGGTTTCTGTTTTGCAGCACACTACCAGGCCATTTACACAAGCATGGCTTTATAGACATTAGGTGCATGTGTTTGACTGGCCTGCCTGCAGTCCATGTCTTTCTCCTGATGAAAATGCCTTGCTCTTCATGAAGGAGAGAGTCTGAATTTGCCAGCTACAGGTTGAACAGCTAAGTACTCTTTTATTGCAGTAATGGACAAAATGCCACTTGAAATATGCAATTGTATGTTCCATAGTGTAGCGGTTAGCACGCCTGCCTTAGAAGCCGAGGGTCCTGGGCTCGATTCCTACAGGATAAAAGCCTCTGCTAAATGCATAAATGTAAATTGGTGTCCGACTTCCTGTGTGTTCCATACGTGATTAGGGAAAAAGTATTTGATGCAGTAGTAAAATTTCCTTTGCCCTCACTTTTCAAAGTGGGCAGTTCTCTATTTGAACAAATTGAAATCATTGTTCTTTGCTTGAAGCAGACAATTTTTGTTTAAATCGGTCCAACAGTGTTGATCACAAGGTTTTGATCCAAAGCTCCCAGGTGTAGGGCTCTTTTGCAAAATGTTTTCATTTGTTTAAATCCACCCTCACCATATCTTCTGTCTGTCTTCTGCTTTTCTAGATGGTATCATTGCTTTGCCTTCAGCCTGTAGCCTGGCCTACACAGAAGGTTCTGCTATGTCAATCTAAGGATCCCTAATTCATCTGCCTGTGTGTATTTTCACCACTCTTCCTCTCCTAGCTTCCTTCCATATCGTCATCATCTCACCAATCACAGCCCATGACAGCAGATCAGTCAACATGGCATTCTCATCCCGCTTTTCCTTCTGGGAGCAAAAGGGAAGTGTCATTTGGACATGTCAAAAGCACTATTAACGTTGCATGACTTTGCAGTGTGTTACTCTCTAGGTCTAACATGCGTGGCCATTGTGTTTATCATTCCAAGAAGGTGATGCCTTTTAGTTGCATGCATAGTGATTACCAGAGGTAAAAAAAAAAGTAAATAGAGTAAATAAGTAAATAAGAGTTAAGTTAATATGATTTTGATAACCTTATACATTAGCTTTTAAATTAAAACCCAGTTAAAGGCAATATTATAATATGATAAACCATAAGGACTACCGCACCTTTATCAAAGACTTGTTTTGTTCATTTTGTTATATATACTTCTGGTAGCTTCACCTCTGCTGTGACACTGAACACCAGACTAAGACTAATGCACCGTGTGCATATGTTTTATGTTGCTTAAAAATATTAGTTTTGTATCTCAGTGCAACTGTTGTCAATCTGATGCTGACTCACATATACTTGGCATGTTTTGAGACTTGCACAGTGGTGTGCTGATAGTGGAAAAATACAAGCTTTTGATGTACTTTTTCATACTGACTCGTTTAGATCAAAGACGAGAACAAGCCAGGCAGCACAACTGTAAGTAACTGCAACCCTTTATTATAGTTCAATTGATGGTGATCGTCCCGTGTTGTTAGCTAGAATTTTTTGTTTTTTTTTTGTTTTGATTTTATTTGTTGAACCTAAACAAATTGATAATAACTTTTAGTATTAGCACACATCCTGATATGTCCTCTTTTTGCTCTCTGTGAGCAGTCAGAGACAGACGGACTGTCCAACAGGGCCAACTCAGTGCCAGCTCTAGACCCCGGCAGGGGAATATTCCGGGTTAAAAGTCCCCCGCCGTTATCACCTAAAGATTCAGCAACAAGGGTCAGGAGTCCGTCCCCACCTAAAGCCAGGACACCTGTCAAAGTTCCAGCGCGCCAAGAGACATTGTCAAAGGCAGGAGAGTCACTAACCAGCCTTGAAACAACCCAGGTTTCCAAAAGTCCAGAGCCAACAATGAACAATGGCAAACAGCAAAATGGCGTCGCGGGTAAAAGCATAGCCAATGGTGCACACATTAGTGATGTCAAACTTCCAGGCCATAGCACTAACCAAACGGATGCCATGGATGATCAGGGACTAACTCGTAAGAAAGTGGTGAAAGTGGTTCGCCGTGTTGTAAGGAAGGTTCTGCCGACAGATGAAGATGACAAGTTTGTTACTATGCCAGCTGCAGTGTCTAAAACCCCATCAATCCCAGGGTTCTCTTTTAAACATGATGTTGTCAAAACAGAGGAGAGAGACGACATCTCTCGAGGCCTGACAAACCTCATGGTCAGAGGCAGAACCAGGGAACCACGTCCAAGAGTACGCCATGATGAACGGCCGGAAAAGTTGGAGTTGGAGAGGAAGAATGACAAAATGGAAGAAAGAGTTGAGCAAAAAGAAACAAAAGAAGAGGACAAGTCAACAGTCAAACCACAGGAAGTGAAAAACAAACTAACAGACCCTGGCCCTGCTACACAGGGTCTGAAATCGAATGTAAACACAGCCAACACAACTCCTGTGAGTCCAACCTCAGCACCTTCCACATCCCCTCATTCCAGACCTTCTTCATCAGAGGTTGCTCCAAATCGATTTTCAAAGTCATTTAACTCATTTCTGCCTCCTGTGTCCCCCACCAAAACCACACCAACAAACCCTCCTCGTCCGCCCTCCTCAGTAGCCCAAAAAGCCACTGCTCTGTCTCCTCCACCTCGGTTTATCCCCCTCTCCAAACCCCCTCAAGTTTCAAACCCCCCTTGTCCAAGTCCTGCTTCATTCGCTCCCAGAGTTCCTCCTGTTCAACAGCCTGCTGTTAGCCATCAAGAGGTAGAGTCAAGAGTCCTCACTTGGCATGCCGTGGCAGTTTGAAATGCATGTTTGAAGTTGAAGAGCACCGTGGTGTTTGTGTGTGGAGCCCACTTCTAATTTTAATGTCTGGAGCAGTCTTTAGACATGAGTGCATGTCTCAAAGCAGCTATAAGATTCGCTTTTGAGTCTCAGCTCTTGGCACGATGTTGATAACTTTACTATTACTGGCATCTCCTGTGAGTCGAAGAATAGATGCTATAAAATGCTATGAAATTTGCATAAATTCTACTCTGAGACACTAATCCAGTTTGAGACACCATTAAGGGTGTGTTGTTACAATGTCCTGCATGGTGATGTGGGTGCACTGATGCAATAATATTGTAATGTATTGTATTACCAAATTGTGTTGGGCTACATTAGCACTGACGGGTCAGTCATCCATGTGGCCGTACTACTCCTACACCATTATAAATTACCATAACTTTCCCTATACACACTGACACACACTTTTCACTGGTTGCACTAATATCATAGGATATAAGTTATATTTAAATTTAAAAAAATTATCATAGGATATAAGTTATATTTAAATAAAAAAAAACATACAGTGTTTGGATTTTTTTTGCATGCAGTGAGAGCAACATTTGTATTATTATAACAACTTGTTATTAACGAGTGGAGTGAACGGTGATGACAACATTGCAGTGCTGATCTGTGTTCCTACTCGGCTAAGTTATTTTATCACGACTGAAAGATTTGGAAAAATATCAAAAAACATCCTGCTCACTTTGTGTGCGACCATAGGCTTTGCTTCTTCTGCATCTTTGTGCTCAGTTTTTTTTGTTGCTTGCTGCTCTGACTTGTAGGAGGCGCTGCTTAGTCCCACAGAGGAGGCTCAGAGACGCCTGATGAGGATCTTCAATGCCCCTGTAAATCTCACTCCTGTCTATGTCTAAATTGTTGATCGTCTCTGTCACCTTGTTTCAAGAAAATGGCCAACACTAACACACTCATTGCTTGTCGCGGCTTGCTTAGAGGCACAAAGCAGGTGGAAGTATTGACACGGTGTTTGTCACCCCTGACTGGGGGCAACAGTTGGTCTGCCAGCTGTAAGTCATGACGTAGTGAAATTGTATCCCTGCTGCTTGTGTCCTGGCTACAACTCTAACCCTCATTTCTGTTACTCTAATCCTCTGGGATTCGTCCAACACTTACTCACCGCTGTTCTAGTTACCTCAGTATAACTGGTCACACAAGGGAAATGTGCTATTCAAATTATTATGGGTTACCTATGTGGATCATTGATCACAGATGAAAAATATAATCTATCAAAATGTGCCTTATACTGAGACTATCAAACATTTTTTTAATAGTATTACTATATGGATAAATTGTGATCAATCAAGATGAATCTTTCTGAAAATTTCCATGAAGTTGTAGTTTTTAACTTTAGCTTTAACTTTTTAATTATTTTTTCCCAGAGGCTTCCTGCTTTTGTGATTGGTGTTTTTTTTTGCAGATGATTATTAAAGCAGGATTAAACACGTTTTCACTTTTGTCATTTTGCCAGAACCAAATTCCCTAAGCTAACCTGAAATAACTGCACGGAAGAGATGATCCTCAATTTTTAGGACAAAAAAGCTACAGTAGCTGTCTAGCTAGTTGAGAGTTAAAACATACACTATATGTTTTTTTTGGCTAGAAAACAGATCATGCTTCCACTAACATCCCAGCTTTGGGCACAGTCTCTCACCATTGCTTATTATTTCACAGTCATTTGTGTGTTCCTGCTCTTTTGTTTTGTTTTGATGCACTTCATTTTCTATTCCCACATTTAACTCGTCTGCTTCATTCTCCATTCTCCGTCCTTACTCCCATTCTCTCCTCTTGCTTTGTTTGTGTTACATTTGGTGCGTTTTCTCTGTGGCTGATTTGTGGCAAAGCTGGAACCTGCAGTCAATGTTTCATCCTGTGTTCAAGCCCCTGACCCTGCTTCCCAGCAGTGTTCCGTCCAGGTACAGCAGCCTTTTGCTCTTCTCTGGGCCTTCGTGACTAAAAAGTGAATGTGTCACTGGTACTACTTAATCTAAATCTGCTTGTTTTAGCAAAAAAAAGACTTAATCTAAATCTGCTTGTTTTAGCAAGAAAGTATTTAAAAAAGTGCTTTTCATACTAATCTGTGACAAACAGGCATTCGTTTTAGTTGATTTAACCAATAGAACAGACCTGAGGCAGTCACCAGGAAGTGATCAAAAGGTTTAGGCCTTTTTTTCCATCCATCTTTATTTGCAGTCTGTGGTTTATCAAGTGTGAAATATTGACTCCTTGTCGTGTCACATGAGGTTTAATTAGTAACACACTGACATTAGGGTTTGCGCTTGTTTCACAAAATATCAGGTTCATTAAATAACCTTCCTGGGCGTTGTTATTCATCTTGATGGGTAACTAAGCAGGACTGATAAAAGTCACGTTTGGTGGCGCTTGCCTGGTGATGTTTGTTTTGTGTGACTAACTTACATAATTGTGTGACATTCAGCAGTGGCTCCAGCAGTCGATCTCTAAGAAAAAGCCATGTTTTTATTTGAAACCGTGCGGTCGGGAAGCATAGCTGGATTCTGTATTTGATGAGTGTGTGTCTGTGAAACATGTGTTGCTCATTTATAACTGTTACTTCTGACCCCTCCTCATGCTGGCCTAAACACCAGGGATCAGTGGAAGAGGACCCTGTGGCTTTACTTCAGGCATCTCATGCTGCAGCTCAGAAACCTCAGGTCTGACCTGCACCGTGCCTGAGTGTGATTCACCACCAGTTTGTCCCATATTCACCAGTGTTCACTCTAGACTGACGTGTTGTGCTGTGCTTTCCCCCCTGTTTGTTAATTGTGTGGATAACTTTCCCAGCTAGTGTTTAATAACTACAGTAATGTAGTTATGACTACATGTGTTCTTTGGACATTAATCACATTTTTTTGTTCATTCCTTTAATTCTCCCGTGTGCTTTCTTTTATTAGTTTGACCCGAGTTTCTTTTTGATCACCACACACCCTAAACCTTAGGACACTGACGTTTCTGGTTTGAAGTTTCTCACACATTTGACAAACTCTTCCCTCATGACTTTTAGCATGTGTTGCTTTCCCAAACTAGAACTGTTCCAGGTTTCATTGAAACTTCATATGACGTTCATATGAAGGGCCATAAATGAGATTATGACGGGCCAGAAATATGTTATCCCTGCCGTAAGTCACTGTGGTTGTTTCTGTTCACCAGGTGAAAACAGAGGAGCAGATTGCAGCAGAGCAGGCCTGGTATGGATCAGAGAAGGTCTGGCTTGTCCACAAAGATGGCTTCTCCCTGGGTGAGATGCTTCATTGTTCAGTTTTGTGTAGTGGATGTTGTGACGAAGCATGGACCATTTTGGATGCCAAATTTAACTAAACTTTTATGTGCCGACCGAATTTTACTTTTTTGAATATGCTCTTACTCTGTTTATGCTTCTAATGGTCATTAGCTTTAAAACACATAATTAAAAACTACTGACTCACAAAAGGTTTTTTCAAAGTCTGGTCCTGTACTAGACTTGAGGCTTTTGTTTTTGCCAGAAGCAAATCCAAGGAGCTACAATTATACCACACACATAACACATTTGTGCCCAGCCATCTGTTTCACTTTTACAAAGAAAAAAGAAGTGGTTAATTTGAATTATAGCAAACTCTCAGTTAGGTCTCAGTTAATAGATTATTAAATAAATGATGTAAATAGTGACCTCAACTTGGAAGAAATGGATGGAAAAAGCACAGCTAGTCAATAGGATCCTGTTTCTGTTACACAGCACACACTGAGCTTCGTACTCTTACAACATTTGAAACACAGGTTGTTGCACTTAGTGCTTATTTAAATGGCTCAAACTTTAGTCTGAGTTCAGTCTTTTTCCCCCCGCATAGCCACTGTGGTGAAGACGGAGAATGGCACTCTGCCAGAAGGCAAGGTGAAAATCAAACTAGAGCATGATGGGACAGTGCTGGATGTGGACGAAGATGACATTGAAAAGGTAAAATATAAGACACTTTCCTTAAGCTTTTGGGACACTGTTATTAACATGTAATTAATGGATACTTTATCACTAAGCTTATCAACCACCAGAGGTCCGTAATGTATGTATAAAATGCTCCATGCCTATACACGCATCTATATATGAGCAGTACATGACGGCAAGGCACTTATTCTACATTTAAAACATCCCACAAAGTACCGCCATACAAACATCTCCCAAATAGTATATGTAATGAAATATAACAAGCTTCTTACTTTTAATCTTCTCAAAATGTGTCTGTTTTGTTGTCTCCCAAATAGTATATGTAATGAAATAAAACGAGCTTCTTACTGTTAATCTTCTCACAACTGACCTACTAGGTATGAAACATGAGTCTGTTTTGTTAAACACAATACAAATATACTCGCAGGAATTGAAGAAAGACATGTAGGACCATCTCCTTTAACAGTCTTAAGTCTCTTTTTTTGTTTTTATAGCCATCTGCTGCTCCAGTGGAAGAGCATTTCATTGCTCTACCTGTCACTTTTGCATAGACTAATGAAGACAAATTATTTATTTAGTAAATAAATAATAGCTTTTACACCAACTTTGTGAAATTGTATAGCTTTCTACAACACATCAGATGATCTCACATGGTGTACTATTGTGCCGCGGCACAGAGATTGAGAATCACAAAGCAACAGTATCTTTATGAGTGCAGACATCATTAGATTTTCACAATTTAAGGCAGCTCATTTGGAAATCTTCTTCCTAAGTGCCATAAAGGACATTCTACACACTCGCCCCCTTTATAGAGAAGGACAACTGGCCAAACGATTTTTCCAATATTATTCATTCAGCTGCTCCCAGGTTTAATTAAGCGAGATGGATGTGAGCTAAGAGCCTGCAGCTGATTGGTCTCAGCAGGGGAACAGAATGAAGTGATGGCTGTCAGTATTGATTTGACTGTGGAGGGAGAGAGTGGGCAGTTTGTCAGTCAGCAGCAGCCAACTGTTGACCTTTGCCCCAGACTGCTGTTCATTTTCTACTAGCATCATTTTGGATGATGTTTCAGTGCAGCAAACGTACTGTGTTGTTAAAAGTGTCGGGATTTAATTCCAAGTAAACATACTTCAGTGCCCTCTACTGGAATCAGAAGAGGGCACAGCTTGTTAATGAAATGAATTAGAACATTTGTAAATGAAATAACAATTATGTAAAGTTATGTAAAGTACCAAAAGATTACGAAACTTCTCCTGGACAATTATTAGTTCATAAATACATGACCATGTGGGTTTTTTGTGTCGTCACTCTTCTTCACAGGCTAATCCTCCATCGTACGATCGATCGGAGGACCTTGCTTCACTCCTCTATCTCAACGAGTCCAGTGTGATGCACTGTTTGAGGCAGCGTTACGGAGGCAACCTTATTCATACTTATGCCGGACTGAACATGGTGGTCATCAACCCTCTTAGCACGCCCTCCATGTACTCTGAGAAGGTATGTGTTAACATACTGTAGAACATGTCTCTAATAACCACTGACCAGGGTAAATCTGTTTGGTCCTTTGGGCACTAGAGCAGTGGTCTCCAACTGTATTTGCCAGAATATTTCTGGACAGACTCGGGCCAGATTAGATGGTTTGGCTGACTTTATTTGTTTATGTTTTGTTCCTCCACAAACAGGTTATGCACATGTTCAAAGGCTGCCGGCGCGATGACACGGCTCCTCACATCTACTCCGTGGCACAGTCGGCCTATCGCAACCTTCTCACCACACGACAGGATCAGTCCATCGTGCTGCTGGGCAAGTCTGGCGGCGGCAAGACCACCAACTGCCAACACCTGCTCCAGTATCTGGTCTCGATTGCAGGCAGCACAGGCAAAATATTCTCTGGTGAGACTGCAGGCATCATGACTCGATGTGTCTAAGGCCAAGTGGCCTCTAAAGTCAATCATTTCATCACTCGTCGTTTCGTTCACGTGGAGTTGTACTGAAAAACCAAGGCCACATCGGTCATTTCAGTCACTGCAAGAATTTATGGTCCATTGAGAACCCCTGTACGACCCAACATCCTCTATAACAGTCAGAAATATTGTCTCTGTCTGACCTTGGTATTAGCTGAAAACGTTCTGCTTCACTCGAGTGTAAATGGCAAACCGCTGCAGCCTTCAAATAATAATATAAATAAAATACCCTGCAAACCGCTGCAGCCTTCAAATAATAATAATAAATAAAATACCCTGCAGATGAGTGAGTGTTTGCTTAGTTCCAGTCAAGATTCAATTTTTTCAAGGTCACTTGATAAAAAATTAAACAGTTTAAAAAGCCTCGTTCATAGTTAGTTTAAACTGCGATAGTCTGTTTTTTTTTTAGTTCATAAATTAAAATGAACTTAAAAATATATAGTTTTTAAGGCCTTGAGATTCCACTTTGAGAAATTCTCTAGAGGCTCATCTTTAACACTTTGAATAAAACTTTGCCATGAAGCAAATAAAGTGTCTGTTAATGCATCATTCCAACAACCCTACAGTTGTTTAGAAATGCCACCGCACAGAGAGACAACAATTAAACTCACATTAGGCGGAAGTTGCCAGAAGCTTAAAGGCCATGAACAGTGTATGTTTGCAGGCGTGATCTATTATGAAAGTTACAATGAAGAAATACCAACAGTCTCAAATTCATATTTCCTTCTCACTGTAACATTGTAGCTACAGCTAACACTCTAAGCTGACATTTGTGTGTTTTGTTTGGTTCCTACATTGGTTCAGATATGACACTTCATTTCCACCTGCAAGCTGGAGAAAGATTAAGTGTGTTATAAATCCTACAGTGTTGGAGCAGCAACTGCACATTAATCACAGTGGGCTCAGGAAGTGTGTGTTTTACACAGTAAATTGCTGTTTTCTTTACCATGGTGAGATGCACGACAGACTGATTAAGATGTTAGTGATTCGTTTGCTGGATCTGGAGCTGGTGTCATTGGTGACCCCAATGTTTACCCTTTAGATTTTAGTAACATTTAGAATATGGCCCACAACCGTAACACCTCCACAACCTCTGTATCTGCTCCTGAGATGAGAATATGATTGTTTTGTTTTTTAGATTGTTTTTGAGTTAATCTCAAGAATCCCAGGAAACTGTCATTCGGAATTTCACATTTTCACCACTAGTAGCACTATACATACTAGTAGTGCATCACTAGAAAATATTAAGTGACAAGAGAATGGCTCTGGGTTTGGAATAAATGGTTGGTTGGATTTGTCTAAATTATACAGCATTTCTCTTGGTACTCGACCTAAAATCAATATGTTTGTAGTTGAGAGATTCCTTTTTATATATCTTTCAAGGGAATCATAATTATTTCTACTGTATTTAATATAATTCTGTGAGATAGTGTTTGTGACAAATTGCCTCGGTTCAAAAATACACAGACGTACTCCTTTAAAAACCCATGTGGCACATACAGTAATCATCCTTTAAATCCACTGCTCTGAGTAGGATCACTGTAGCACTGGTTCCCGGGGGCTTTCGGCAACAGCTCGACAGCGATGAACACAAACGCCAGTCACTTCTCCCATGTTGTCTCCCTTGACTTTGACCAGGCTGGACAGGTGGCCTCGGCCTCCATTCAGGTATGTGCAAACAGACACACACACACACACACACACACACATACAAAACACACTACTGTCGTACACAATAAGGCATTCCAGCAGAGAGATGTGAACAGAAAACAGAATAAGGTGAAATCCTGACAGTTAGAACAATAACATCCCAGCGGTTGCAATTTGCCTCTGACTTGTCTATTGTCTCCCCTCCTTTAGACGATGCTGCTGGAGAAATTGAGGGTGAGCAGACGACCTGAGGGAGAATCAACCTTCAACATCTTCTACTACATTATGGCTGGTGCTGACAGCGGCCTCAGGTGACTCCCACGGCCCCTTTTAGTCAAATAAATGTCATCGTCAGAAAGAAATTTAGTTCTTTTATAGCTATTCCCTCACTCCTGGCAGAATCTTTATACTTGATTCTAATGTAGTTTAACTATCGCCGTGGCTTAGATACCTATGGTTGCAGCAGGTTACTTCAGGTCAGCCTTTCTCTCTCTCTTACAGAACTGAGCTGCACTTTAACCACATGGCTGAAAACAGTGCTTTCGGAATTGCACCACAGTCCAAGGTAATGTCGCGTGGTGTTACTGAAATGATTAATTTCTCTGACATGAATATATCCTCGATCCCTACTGGAAATAGCAAAGTAAAGGCCGATGGCGAGATTTGGAGACTAAAGTTTGATGTGTTTGTCCCCAGGCTGAGGACAAGCAGCGATCTGCACAGCAGTTCACGAAGCTGCAGGCAGCCATGAAAGTGCTGGGCATCTCTGGTGATGAACAAAAGGCTCTTTGGCTCATCCTCGGAGCCATTTATCACCTAGGAGCTGCAGGAGCCACTAAAGGTAAACACTGACCTACAGACTAAAACTTAGATCATAACATGTATTTAACTTCTTTGCTAGATTTTGTTCTAAAAATATTCATGTGGTAAAACATGCATAACTTTGTATTTTATTAACATTAAAAAATAAATCAAGTGTGGGAAACCAAATGCACAGTTTTTTCAGTGTCAGACCAACTGGTGGACTGTTTCCTAAGTGGGAAACTGCTGCCATTTAAATGCCTGTTCATTTACTGAACTAATGTAATGGATTTATATAAACAAAAAAAATACAAAGGAAAAACGAAATGTCGTGACAAGTCCATTCATGTGTCACGGCCTTTAATTAAATTTACCCTTCATTAGCATCGACCAATGTAAGAGAGAGAGAACCCAGTGAATACCAATTTGTTTTTAAAGCAACGTAGCCGCATTAACACAATCGTGTTACATTAGTAACAGCACTTTTAGAGACTGTCCACAGTCTAACTCTGTTTGAAGCTACAGTAATAAAAACAAAGTTCAATGAACATGGCCCAAATTGTTGAAATTAGTTCCACAATTAGCCTAAAATCGTCACTCTTTAAGTGTTACGATGTGCTGCCAAAAGCACTATTTATTTTCTTTTACATTTTAGGACAGTTTTTAGTCAGTGTTTTTCCTTTAATAGAAGATGGCGTCCTTTTCCATATAAAGTTGTGAAAATGTTTTATATTCTTTCACATTTAAAATGATCTGACCCTGGTGGGGGGACTGGCGCTGCGATTCTACAAATTCCCGCTAGGTGTCAGCGTTTACATTTGAATCCGCCCAGCGACGGCATTAACTGGCCTGTTTGTGGCGTGTTCAGGGTCATTTACAGATTAACTGTGAATTCTTTTAAAAACCACTCATGCGCTTTTTATGGTGTAGGGTCGTGGTTTTATGATGTTGTCCTGGTGTAAGGTCACTGGTCTGTGTTCCAGTAAAAACCTTTGAGCTGCACCTATTCAGGGCCAGTCAGCTGGCTTTCCTTTAGACAGGAACTTAAAAGCTACGTTCACTCCAGTAAAATATGATGGGAAAGTTCATGAAGCAAAGGCTGTAAAAGAAACTGATAAAAACTTTGTGGATCATCTTTTCAGTCCGTCTGAAGCTGAATGTAGGCCTGAAATATGTGCACACTAAACACAGTTAACTTCGAACACAAAAATGGATAAAAATAAAAACATGTTAGCATATCAACCATCCACTGAGTGACATTCATATATTAATGTTGTCAATCTTTAATATTGAAAAATATATCAATATTTATCTGTAGTTTCTTATGTAAAAATATAGCTTTACTAGCTATAGATTACTGTAGTGCTTCTAAAGCTCAAAAACATATATCTACAAACTAGAAATATTCAGTCTACTGTCATAGAGAAGCAGAAAAACTGCAGTTTTATTAACTCAAACCACCTAGTCTATTATCAGGTATTCCTTTTGTACAGCCAAGGTTCAAACACTTAAGGCTGTGTTTTTCAGCTGCCTCTGCTCAGGCATGATGGTGTGTTGTCAGTGTTATTTAACACTAAGGTTAAATGCTTTTAGTGCTTGCAAGTGTGAATTGATGAATCTATAATGTGTGTTTCTTTAACCCCTTGTTTTTACTTGCATGTTTGCATGCTGTGCCCCGTCAAACGCAGACGGAGATGAAGGTAATGGACAAGTTGTTAAATGTTTTTCTACTCAGGAACATTCATTAAAAGCTTTGTGTTTATATTTCTCCTTCCCATCTCATTTTCCCGTGCATTAATTTATTCACCTCACTCCTCTGACGGTGTTTTTTTGTCTAAGTGTCACAACATCTTCCCCCTGCTTGGGTCTTTTCTGTCACTGAAAGATGAAAATCACAGTCATCAGAACTCAGCTTGTCTCTTTTAACGCCTTTCTTTCTCTGTGATGCCTCTGCATGTCACCCACATGTCACCCTGCACCGCAGTCTTTCAAGCAAAGTGAAGCTTGTTCAGTTTCACATCCCTAACCGATGTTTTGAGTTTCTACCACAAAAAACTCTGCTTACCCCACGCATACTGTTGAGGTTTCAGGCTGGCAGGGGCTCCTGTTTATCCTCTGGCTCAGTAACTCAGCTCTTTGGTTGACTCTCTGTGCAGACTGTCACGTCACTGTGCTTTGGACAAACACATGGGATTGAATTTGCACCCGGCCAAATGGAGATGCTTTTAATTATCACTGATTAGTTTAAATCAGACTTCTTAGTTTTGGCTACCAGTGTGCCTGCCACCACATGTCTTGCAAAACAAAACTTGGGCCGCACGTTGGCAGATTTATAGATGCCTACTCAGACATATGATTGTCTGTAGAGGCTGGACTTAGAATTTTAGATGCTGTCAGACATTGTACAGGAAATTAATCTATAGGCATTTCTAATAAAAATATGGCAACATAATAATTCCTTGTTTCTAAGTGCGGTGATATTGTCGACATAGTTACATTAAATATGCTGTTTCTACCCAGGACTGCTGGTTAAACAGACCAGGGTACATGGACTAGGGTCGTCCTGGTACCATTTGTTTTTGTACAAACTAATACCAGGAGGAATATCTTTTTCTTTCATTAAGGAATTCACCAATTCTGACCACTGATGTCTCTTTAGGTTGGGTTTCAGTATATGCACAATGGAAATGAACGAGTGTTGTATACTAGAGATGGCTGGAGCTGATACTCAAAATAGGTAGTAGTTTGAAATTAGTCAAAATTCCCGAGTCGAACATTGAAAAACTGGATTGATATCGTTATTGGCAGATACTCCAAGTTGCGGTATCAGTATTAGACGTTGGACAAAAAGTCTTAATATAAATGACCGACACTTTCACCAAGTAGAAATATCTGAATGAAATATTGGGTGTATCAGTATCGGTGTGTCCGTGCTCAAGACTGGTGTTTATACCAAGAACCTGACATACAACGTCACATCTCCTGCCACGGATTTGTTTTGTAACCTTCCACCTTCAGTTGAATTGAATGCAGTGTCAACACAGACACAAGTCAAACTTTTGTTATTCACAGCACAACGCAGAATTCAGTGATTAACGGGCGGTAAAAGTTGCCTCAAGGAACACTGTCGCCTCAGAGTGTGACTGACAGAATAAGGTTAATATATTCCTTTCTGATGGCTGAGTGAGAACTTCTTTCTAAATTGCGTTATGTGCCAATATCAGTGCCACTTGTCTTTGTTCGACATGAATAATAGAGGACGCGGTGTTCGGTACTTGCCCGTGAGATATATGTCATAAAAAAAGGATGTAAAGGACAGGACGGGCCAGGATCGGGTTGCATAAGGACAGGATAGGACAGGATAAACAGGATAGGATGGAATAAAAATAAGAAAATAGGATAGGATAGAAAAGACTTTATTGTCCCAGAGGGAAGGTTGCCTCTGGAAAATAGTGTCTGCCGTATAAAAACAGTACAAACATTCAGCTCTAATAAAACACAGGACAATGAATTACTTTGACTGTGACGTTAAACCATACATCACTACTATTAACCCGCTCCTAAAAATACATTTTCTCCCTCTTTACACTACCATCAGCATCTTGAAGCGAGCAGGTCCAGTGCATTGAGCTACGTACGTTGTATCCGTCAACTAAAGATTTGTCTTCTTGACGGACAGGTTTGGAACACAGCCGCTTGTTTTGCTGTTGTTTTCCAATCACTTAACATGTGGAAATATGATTTTCTGCTCACCTCACTTGTAAAAAGTCATGACCTGAGTTACTGCAGTCTCCCTGTCAGCTCTAATCAGCCTGACCATCCTCCTCGGCCGTCAGTCAGCAGCACAGACCGACTGAATGCTGGATGTTGTTAGTTCCAGTCTGAGCGAACCTACATTAAGACACAAAAAAACTCAACTTTGCAATCTGGACTGATATAATCCAACAACGTCTTTTTTTTTAATTTACAGAGATAAATAAAGACTATAATTTGCCCATGTTTTCCTCAGTAGATGTAATGCATCTGCTGATGTTGAAGCTCGACCTGAAGTCAAGGTTGTAACAGAACAGTTGTCAGTTTCCAACCCTCAGATGATTGTGTTCCTCACTGCTGCAGAGAAAATCATGCCATACAGAAATGCCACTATACCTTCTTTCTTTTTTAAAAATGCTTAAACTGATCAATAGTCCATTTGTACTTTTATTGATTGTTTTCACTTGTTACTCAGAAAAATCATATGCTTTACCCAGCTCAACAGATTCAGCGTTTAATTTGGTCAGTGAGCTTTTTCCTGTATTCTTTCTCTTCCATCCCGCCGTGCTCATATCTGACATTCCTTCCATCGTACTGAATCTCCTCCTCAGGGCCCTTGTTTTGCATTCAATTCGTACCTTTTTGTATTTTCAGTGGGGCGCAGGCAATTTGCTCGTCATGAATGGGCACAAAAAGCAGCCTACCTGCTGGGCTGCTCTTTGGAGGAGCTGTCATCTTCTATCTTTAAGCACCAAGCCAAAGGACTGCAGCATTCTGCCTCCTTCAGAGGAGTGCCAGATGAGAGCGGCCAGGGCGACGGCTCAGGTAAAACTTTGTAATTCTTTCTTTGTCTTACACACAATTATTCACCAGAAGAAAGTTTGGGACAAAAGCACACGAGATATGACAAGTGACATGACTAACGATGTGTTTAACCAGATTTAAATTTGATGTTCACGGTCTGAATGCTAACCTTTTATTGCTACAGTACTGTTAGGCCTTATTTTAGATCCTACACCTCTCTGTGTTCTTACTCCACTCTCTGAGAAACTGATTTCTACAGTGAAATCAGTGGCTAATGTTGTCACAAACACGTGACACAAGATTGTGTTTCCAGTATACTGGACATAAAGGCTGGAACAAATGTATTTTTTACACTAAAAATGAATCAGAAGGTCGTCAGTTTCACCGCTGTAGTTTGTTCCAACACCATTTCTTCATCTGAAAAGCTGTTTAAAAAATAGTTAATTCAACTGAAGGTTAAAATAAAACCTCTGAACTTTTCCTCTGTCCAAGGCTGTAAGATCTCAGCTCTGGAGTGTTTGGAGGCCATGGCATCAGGACTGTACTCTGAGCTCTTCACTCTTGTCATCTCCCTCATCAACAGGTCAGACCTCCACCTTTTACTCATTTATATTTGCATTTTATTTTTTTTTGATATTATATTGAGATTTTCAATTTGCTCGGTTGGAACAGCAATCTTGGTGGAGTTTTAAAATAAAGCTCACATAAGCAAAAGCAGTAAATGTGTCCACATGAGCACAGCTCAGCAGTAAGCTAGTCTACAAAAAGTTCTGCAGAGAAAGTTTCTCACTGTTCACTGTTAAATGGGATTTTAAACATTCTTTTATTTTTTTCAATTTAATTACCAAACCTGCTGCCATTAATATAAATGTTAAACCATTCACCATTCAAACCATTCTCTAATAATAGAGCACTTACTTTTTGAAAGTGCCCCCCTCCACACCCGAATAAAACACTACAACAGTAAAAGGTGCATAAAATAGGACAACAGCATGGATAATTTGAATATTTTGTCATGCTGTACTTTCTCAACCAATGAGAAATGTCTGATTCTTTTTATTTTTGGGAAGCATTTCTATTTTGCAAGATTTTGTCATGCTAGCATTAAAGTGATTCACAGGGTTGTGGTTTAATTTTCTTTCTTTGCATCAGTCTCACCCTCTGCTGCAGTCCTCTCTGCTCCACACAATGTGTTGCACAGATGTCAGGCGTAATCAGCAAAGTTTTACATTTATCTTTTCATACATTCAACACTATTTTCCTGTGCAATATGCCACCGGCTGCTTCACAGCCTCTCTAGCCATTTAACGACATTCTCATGTTTTTTAATGTCTTTGTCCTGCAGGTGGTTTTATTCATACATCTTTTCACCTCAGCAGCCACTAGATTATGGAAGTTTCCTCTAACTCTTGCAAAAGTTTATGCATCTTATATGAATTGTCACCTGATGTTATCCATTTCTTGTGTCTGGGGTAAAAAGTAAGCATCATATAAAGCAAATAAAACTAACCAAGAAAAAAATGTATCTTTAACTTTACATAAAAACAGTTTTTGCTAAATGTGTCCTTTATTCACTCCACAAGTTGTTTAAAATGATTTATTACATATTTAGAACGTGGAGGGAACGGAGCAGAAAATAATGTTTTTAAAGGGATATTTTTATCTCACAGGAAGTTTCCTGATTTCCTGATTATTTTCTCTTCGTCAGGGCTCTGAAGTCTAGTCAGCACTCTCTGTGCTCCCTGCTGATCGTGGACACTCCTGGCTTCCAGAACCCCCGGCTGGCGCAGCAGCAGCGAGGGGCAACCTTTGAGGAGCTTTGCCACAATTACACCCAGGAGAGGCTGCAGACCCTGTTTCATGAACGCACCTTTGTTCAGGAGCTGGACAGATACAAGGAGGTGCTGCTGGGCTGACAGAGCACAGAATCCAACAGTAGCCTTAGGAGATTTCACACACATTAGCTCATTAGCCTTTTATTTATTTTCTAAGTTTCTCATTTAGTGACAGAAAATCCTCTTAATTAGTTGTAGTTTTTTTTTTTTAAGTAAAAGTTTTCCACTCAGCTCTAGAGGCATTTACCTATGCAGCCTCCACAAGATAACAGAGGGGTCGGTGAAAATTCATTAGCTGAAATATTTCCCCTCTGGGTTTTTTTTCAAATTTTGCCTTGGCTCATATCAGTGCCAGATTCAGCTTTTCCACATTCACAGTTCAGATAAATGTGTAAAAATATCTATGCCCTTATGTAGGGATACATTTTTGAATATTTAGAGGCTGCTCTAAATCCTTTACATCTTTTTCCAGTTGACTTACCATAGTTCAGATATATTATTAAAAATACAAATCAACCTAATTACACCACTTGCATAATTATAATAATGATTCAAGATTTATTGCACTAATTTGGTAGTGATGGTCATTTATACAATTCTTTTTTATAACATAGGTAAATGACTGCACTTGATGATTTACTGGTTGAATTCTCTTCTTCTTCTTCTGCTGTAGATGACTAACCTCAGCCTTTTTCCCCTCCTGCGTCTATAGGAAAACATAGAGCTTGCTTTAGATGACATAGAGTGCAGTACCTCACGGTCTGTAGCTGCTATTGACCAAACCTCGACACAAGCTCTGGTAAGCAACAAAACAAACGCCTCAGCACACTGCGTCACAGTGACATTCTGTTCCTTTGTTGTCCATGTTACTGTCCAGAGAAGTTTGTCGTCATTTTCCAGACTTTATAGAGATTGAGAGACATTTGGTTTGTACTGAAAATTTAATTATATTTCAGAGGAATTATTGCAGATGTGATTGAGAACATCAGACTAGGTCAACTGATAGGCCCCGAGTGCCGAGTGCTTATAGTGTATTAGTGAAGAAAGATTTTTTTTCAGTATTTATATTGACACATCCTTAAATTCATACACTGTGTGAAATTCTTCCGTGTGATATGGAACCAAACTTCTCCAGCTCAGATCTGTTGAAGATGTTCCCAGCTCATGTTCTCTAATGGCCTGCAGTGGCAAATAGAGAACTGAGTTAACTCAAAAAGGGGTTTTTTTTTCTCATTGACTAAGGGAACAAAAAAAAAATGAAACAAACATACATCTTTGAGATGACATGATTAATAATTGAATAACCCCCTGCTGGCTTCAAAGACATCGTCACCATCAGTCAGACAATAATGTTTTCTTAGCAGTAAAATCTGGCTGGTTGATCAGAAGTACTTCCTCAGCTCTTGTCATTGAGCTGCTGTTTGCTCTAAACATCTATTATTAAACCTTCTCTGTCCGGAAGCTTTGCATCGTCTGTTGATAAAAATAGGATTGTGTTAGTGATCAGAAAACTCTGTCGAGTGTTTTGTCTGCAAATGGTGGAGCTTGATTTTTAGTTGAACCAGTTAGACTCTGGACTCAGATGAAACAGAAGCCATACTAGTAATGCACCGTGTCCTCACTGTTTGGTTTTAGGGACACATGCTGTATAAGAAAGGAAAGTTACAAAGGAATCAGACAAATCAGAATAAACAACCACGAGTTGTTGAGTAGCTTATATATTTTAATTAGCAGCGATTGTAGAAACACTTAGAACCTTCACTTCCTAGAAAAGAGAGAAATACATTTGTTTACATAATTGTCTACTAATGGTTAAGTGTTTCTCTCTCATTAAACATTTTAATAATAACATATTCTGAGGTGAATGGACTCTTAAAAAATCAGCCAATCAGCGTGTAGCAGCAAAGTGTCAGACTTGAGTTATGTATGCCGTTTGTCAAGGTTTGTTGAAACCCCAAATAAGCCCTTACAAAAGTGGAGTTAAAAAGTTGTTTAAAAAGAATCTTTATTATTTATGAGAAGAAACTTTCATCGAAAGACTTCTAATGGTTTTCAACATGTGGCTGATGTTGTTAAATATTTATAATAATAGAAAGTTTGCTGAAAATAGATGAAGAGGACTGGGAAAGTTGAAATTGTTTATCTTGATTTAAACAGGCATTAAAGATAATGTTTGAACACAGTTCTTGTTTTGAAGAAAAATGATCAAGGAAAGAACTGTGATTATTATTGATGTAACGCTTCAATAATAATAATAAATAAAATAAAATAAAAAAACGATCTTTACCCTCAAGAATATCATTAGTGAAAAATGATACCTCTTTTATTTAAGTCCTCATAATTTAACCAGCTCAAGTCCCCAGCATGGACTGGAATCATCTTTGAAGTAGAATAAATAAATAAGCTTTTAATAAGCTCTCCCTTCACTGAAGTGATGACCTCATTTAGACTCTTTTCTCTCAGACACTGCACTGATTTTTATTCAGACCATGTCGTGTTTCTGCTGTTTACAGCCCATAACATTTTCCCAAATTAAATCTTTACCCTAAGAGGAAATAAAAGCAGACATTTATCATTTATACCCTGCTCCAGAGCTGCTGACTTTGTTGCATCCACTTCATTTGGCTCTCAGTGATTGTGGCTCATTTTAATCCAGTTTGTTCCCTTCCTCTTCTGAAATTCCTCTGACTCTAATGTCATTAATTGGAGTCCAGTTTGGAGCAGTTTCGCTCTCGTTGGCCTCAGTCCTTCTGTTCCTTGCTTGGCCTCTTGCTGCATTCAATTATTGAGAATTTCACTTAGAATCTGTAAAGAAAGACCACGCAGTGGTTTAACACTACACTGGGTTTGTAACTCTGCCCTCTGACTGCACAGTAGCCCACGGTGCTGGCTTTTGTAGAAACAGAATTTAAAATGGAAGCCACAGACCTCTGTTACCAGAATTTTATATGGATCTAATAAGCTGTTAGCATCAGAACTCTGATCACTTTTCCGTAGTTTATTATTTGTAGTGTAATTCTTTGCAGCCCATGCAGGCTGCCACTGGAGGCGCCATTGAGTATGTTGTTCCTCCGTGGCTCTAACCCAGGACTTTCTGCATGTAAGGCAGATGTGTAAGGCAGTCGTGATGACCACTGCACTATGGAACCACTGAATCTAAATGTCTGAAATAACTGTCTACTTGTTCAAAATTGGTCAAACCTTTGTCCGTAAGAAATTAGGAAAACATTTAGAGTTGGTAATGACTGTCAGCTGGATCGAAAGAAATTAATATTGTTAGTTGTGTAGTTTGTTGCGTGTCAATGGCGCACAAGCACGTATCTTGTTGGCTGTGTTTTGCCAGTCATTAGTGATTTTGAAGCGGTTCGTTGTACCAGGTACGTTATACTTTGTGTTGTGCGGCTGTGTTTTGCCAGTCATTAGTGATTGTGAGTGAAGTGGTTTGTTGTACCAGGTATGTTGTACTTTGTGGTAGCAGGTAGCAGTGTTTTCTTCAACATATGATTAGGATTTCCCAATTTTCTTCAACATATGATTAGGATTTCCACTTAGCTTTCCCAAAGGCAAATTATTAGTTTGTCAGTGAGTGTTCTGTGTGCTTTAGCTTGAAGCGACAAAATAAGTCTGTTGGATTCTCTCTGTGTCGCTGTTTTAAATGTCAATGTGTAATGATATCTATTATACATTTGTTTGTTTTGCACAAGATGTTATTAGAAGCAGTGTTTGTTTTAGTTAATTGACCAATGCTCTAATTACATCGTGTATATGTGTGAAGTGGAGTCAATTGTGCTTCAGATACTGTGACACGTTTCTGTCAGGAATACAAAAGATGCTCTCAACAATTTGCAACAAAAACAAGGAAATATCAACAAATCATTAATGTCATTACTGACCTGGACCTCTGGACAGCATGGTGTATTTGAGATAAATAGTGATATTTATATTATATATGTCTTCTTCTTTCAGAAGCATAAAATTCTATTTGAAACGCTTTGATACTGATTTACAAACTTGGTAACTATTGAAATGCGGGCCCCATTATTATTGATTTGGTAAAAAGCCACAGCTATTTTATGGGGATGTTATAAATATTGCCAGGTTTTGGTCATTTTGTTGAATCTTTTTAATCATAGATTTCAGAGTTGTTCTGTTTCTGCCACTGTTGAATAGTAGAAACTGCAGTTAACGTTTGGTAATTTCCTTTGGCTCTGTGTCATATTATCACACAGTTTATCGCCTGAGTAGATTTAATCTGGTGAAGTCCTGTGATACTAACGGCACTAGAAGCAGAGTTGATAAAGACCAAAATTTGACTCAATGAAATCTCACCAAAATTGTTATTCAGCTGTCAGATTAGTATTATTATTATTATTTTTTTTTCTTTGTTAAACGTCATTGACCCAAGAGAGGGAAGTGGTTGCTCTTGATTGCAGCACTCAGCTGCTAGGGGATGTTCATTCTTCTCCTCATACAACACTCATATTATTCAAGCATTGATCACTTCCTCACAGGAATTCATTCATACCAAGTATCTCATACCCCAAGACCCACCCAGCGCTCAATGCTTCCGGAAAAGTTCTATAAGGCCACAGTTTCAGCAGATGGAGCTTCAGCTTCTTCTCTCTTTTCAAGGGCCCAGGGTTTGGCACTAGCAGTTAGAATAAGAGTCTTTGTTGGTTATCAATGATTTCTCACAGCTGTCACCAAATTTACCATGAAAATAGAACATGTCTCATAATGGTGAATTTTTTGTGGTCTAATAATAATTAAAAAAATCAAGCAATTAAATTCATGTTGGATTAAAATTCTGAAGTAGAGACTAATTTTTCTACAACACGTTCTGACGAGTGCTTAGTCATAAAGCCAGTGTAAAATAAGAATCTCAACCATTAGAGACTCAGCAGGGATAAACAAGTCAATACATCCAACTTCTCTCCCAGTATTGATCAACCAGAGATCAGCAGGGGAGCCGGCGATTCAGACTCACCCGTCAGAGAAGAAACATTTTAAATGTCTGCTTTTTTAGACCAAACCAAAAGGAATTGATGGCTCCCCTGCTGCCGTCTTCTATTGCTCAGTTCTGACAGCGCTTTTATGTCTAATGTCACCATTCTGGTCCAACATTTTCATGGGTGGGTGTCGCTTTATATCTCTTGTCAAAATGGATTTGGAATTCATTACAGACGCTGCCCTTGCCCACGAGATGAAGAAAGTTACTGCAGCTATATTTCACCCCAGTCCCAGTGGTTTAATCAGAGACGCTCACCCAGGAAGTCACATGGCCAAATAATGAAATGCACAGCATTATTTATTTGAACAACTCTCGTAAAGCAGCATAACAACCTTAGCTGTAGTCATGGGGAAGTTTTTTTTTTCTAAAGCCCATTAGAAAGATTTGTACAGATCACGCACAGAATAAAAGTCCATGCTATTAAGCAAGAGGCAGAGTCTGAATGTGAGCCTGATAATGTCTCTGACAGCTCTGCAGCACCAGGGGAAAAAGTGATTCTGAGAAAAGAAAAAAAAAAGTCTGTGTATGTGACCAAGTACAATAAGTAGTGATAAAATAAGCCATAATGCAGCATCGTTTGCCTCGATGATGTATTTAAGTTCCTAATGTTGTTGCTCACAGTGAAAATGATGACCTTCTGGGAGCAGCGTGTGCTGCTGTACAATTGATTGAAACCTGTTTGGCCTGGGAAAAAACACTTTGATGTTATATTTTTGCTTAGGTCGTTTTTGTGGTTGCTTCGTAATTGTGAGTGTTTGCTAAGCACCTGATAATGAGTATATTTGAAATTGCTGCCATACATAGTTGGCTTATTGTCCATTTGATTATTCAAATCTATTTTTATGATATTCAGCAGCTTTTAGGGCTGTAAAAATGAACACCTTTAATGTTTTAATTAGTTTGTGGAGGTTTTAACACATGGACAGAAGGACTCGCACTGTGTATTCAATAATTCCACTGTCTCTCTTTCATTGCTGCTCTTCCAAACATTTAGTAATCTTTGTTATTTAAATACACTGTAGAAAAGAGTTGTAGTTTCTAGATTAAAATACCATCCTAAAGCCCACCATGGAGTTTTTGGGGGCTTCAGTTTATGATCAGATGCCCAGCTTGCGTCAGACCAGACTCACTGAGCACAAGGCAGTGAGTCATCTATGGCTGACAAGCTGACTGCCACGATTGCCAAAGGAATTATGAGGAACTGTTGACAATTAATATTGTTGAAGACAAAGTCTTCACTCCAGTTTTGACAAAGATATTCCGATGTGTTCTACAAATCACTGTCAGGATGAACAGTAATGTCCTAAACCCAGCAATTTTGTGAAGCATGAAAGAGGTGTTCGTTTATGAACAAACCTTTCGACAGCAATCCTTTTATGTATTAAAAGGAAAACTTTTTTTGCAATTTTTTGGATGAAAAAAAAATGTAATATCAGAGTAGGGCTAGAGAGATCTGTTAAACCAGTGGAGCTCTGACTGAAACTGCCTGAGAACACCCTCGTTAATTTTTCCATCAGAGAAATTGTAAAGACAGCTGTGACACCTGTGACTCTTCTTATCCGCTACAGGTGCGGACTCTGGCCAGGACGGACGAAGCCCGAGGTCTTCTGTGGCTGATGGAGGAGGAGGCTGTTCAGCCCGGAGGTTCAGAGGAGACCATGCTGGAGAGACTTTTCAGCTACTATGGATCAGCACAGGGAGAAACCAAAGGTGAGGCTTCAGCACAAGGTCAACAGCGCTGTCCGTGCTCCTCGTGTCAGTCGGGAATTAATGAAAGTGTGTCCTCTGTGCTGCAGGTCCAAATCTTCTAATGAGGGGAGATAAACCCAACCTTTTCCTGCTTGGTCACAGCCACGGGACAAACTGGGTGGAGTACGACGCTCAGGGCTGGTTGAGCCACGCGAAGCATAATCCTGCTGCTCAGAACGCCGCCACACTGTTGCAGGACTCACAGAAGTATGTGAACGCCTTTGGTTCCACTCTTCGCTTCCTAATATAAAGAAATATCTGTGATGATGAGTCACATATTCAGAGTTACAGAATATGTTTTTTTAATTTGGTTTTTACATTAAAAGGGACGAAGCGTATTAATTAAGTATTTCACAAATTCAAATACACCTGGATTATCCATCAGTTGTCCCTGTGCCAACTTTAAAAGGCTTCCTTAAAAAGGCCACCTTAAAAAATAAAAAACAAAATGCAACATTCAAGGTTTAAAAAAAGCACTTCATTTTATACACATAAACATCAATAATGAAAACAAAGGAGGCAAAATTTCCCAGGATTTGTTTTATTTTATTACTGATGACACTGCATAGAAAATGTTTAATATCTCCTGCCTCCACAGGAAAAACATCAGCGGGCTGTTCATGAGTCGAGCCAGCGGCGCCACAGTTTTGTCGGGCTCCATCGCTGGTCTTGAGGGCAGCTCCCAGCTCGCTCTGAGACGAGCCACCAGCATGAGAAAAACCTTCACCACAGGTGTTGCTGCAGTCAAAAAAAAGAGTCTGTGTATTCAGATCAAACTCCAAGTGGTAAGAACATGAAAGTGCCCCGAATATATCACTGTTAAAAAAAGTGATTTAAAAATAATCCAGCTGAAATAGAGCTTCATTTTTTACAAAGATTATGAAGTAACCTTCCTTCTTTTCACAGGACGCTCTGATTGATATGGTGCGGCGCTCCAAGGTTCACTTCGTCCACTGCCTGCTCCCCAAAGCAGAGGCAGTTGGAGGAGGAAGTGAGCCCCGTGTGACGCACGGAGAGAACGCTGACTCAGGTCTCATGACTCTGGACGTAGGCCTCCTGAGAGCTCAGCTGCGAGGGTCAAAACTGTTGGATGCTCTGCGCATATACAGACAAGGTATGGAAGTAGCTGTGGAAAAAATCAGCAACCAATTAGGTAAATGATGAGTAAAGAGAATCTGGCTAAAGAGCATTTATTCATTTTTTTATGTAAGGATGAATTATTTTTGTCACTGACGATAAAAATGTGCCTCTGCCACCCTGTTGGCTGCTGTCTAACCTCAGTGTCTTTGACTTTTCTCTCTCTCTCTCTCTCTTTTTCTCCTATCTGCTCTTCTGCCATCTCTGCCCCCAGGTTACCCAGACCACATGGTGTTCTCTGAGTTCCGGCGGCGCTTTGATGTCCTGGCTCCACATCTCTCAAAGAAACATGGCCGCCACTACATCGTCACAGATGAGAAGAGGGTGAGTTTTTGAGCGGGTTAGGACTTAAAACAGACAGCAGAACGCATCAACAAACAAGACCCCACTATGTTCCCACTGATGGCATTACCCTGTTCTATTATTATGATACTCCAGGAGCAGAGAGACTGTGTGCGGTTTCTGTGTGCAATTTCCTTTAAATGAACCACAGTGTGGTCGTGTCTGAGGATTGCCTTTGTGCTGTTCTCAGACATATTATTTTCAACGGTAGGCTTCATCAGCATTTCAATCCACATACAGATTTCGTTATTTGGGAATGGTTGTTTTTGGTCTTTTGCATATCATTTCATTGAAGTAACAGTTTATTCTGAAGTGGGGCCAAACGTGTGAGACGTTTTTGGTCATAATTGTGCTGCTGCTTGGACATATATACAGTATATATATAATATCCAGACAGTTTTTGTGCATCTTCAATTTCATGTGTAGTGCAATGAAATGAATGCACTGGAATCACCACAGCCACCTTGAGTATTGCCAAAATCACACCTCGACGCTCTGCAACACCAGTGTGAAAATTGTGATCATTATCATCATTATTTAATTAACAGAAAAAAACTGTTTTTACCCTGAAACTATATATTATGGTCATTAGTTTTACATTTCTCCAGCTCTAATGAGGGTTTAGTGAGTGTGCCCTATAAACACACATGTGGTAGTAAATGTTTGTGGGTTATTAACATCAGCTCACTGTATGGTTTGTTCAGTCCCATGAAATATGTGGCATTCATGATCAATTAATGCAGAAAATCAGGTCATGGACTGTTTCCTGTTACTGTAAGCAAACACATAGTTGGAAATTCAGGTTATGTGTAAATAAATAGACTATAAAAGCATTAGCATCAACTTCCAAAGTGCAAAGTACACAAGCTATTTAAACCATGACTTGTTGTGTTCACATCACCGTATGGTGTTGTATGATGATCCATTATTCTAACCCCTACTATTTTCACTATATCTTTTCTGTTCAGCAAATAGAAATATAATATATACAGTTTGTATCGGTGATAAAATTTAGAACGTGAATGCTACCGTAGGTCTTCCTGGCGAAGGTGTTGCTGCGAAGGTTCATCCGAATCCACCTTTTCTCTGCTAACAAGCCTGAGAACTGGCCACTCTGACCAGGGTCTCAGGAGAAAAACCCACATTTCCCACGACATTGCTGTAAGTGTCTTTGTAGGACACGCACATAACTCTTTGAGTTATATGGCACTGTTTTACTTTCTTATTCTCTGGTGTACAGTCGCATTAGTCAAAGCGTGAAAAAAGGAGAACAGTTTGGTTTTAAACAAACTGAGCTCTCAGACGACTGTGATGACCTTCATTCTCAAACAAGCGCCACAGAGTTTCCACAAAACAATGTGGTTCGTATAAAAACACATTAATATTTCATAATTAAATATTTGCTCCTACCAGAAGAGTCAGGTGTAAAATATTAACATAATCCTGTCTGGTCGTCCTTGTGGCTGAGTATTTTTGCGGCTTAATTCACTCAGTTTTATCATGTGTGGTGAATGTAAATTAAGTGTAAACTAATTTAACTTTCAAATGTCAGCTTTTTACTGATGTAATACAAAAAGGTGGTTTATGAATATAAGATTATATATTTAATCACAATGACAGGTTAGGCCATGTACAATAGTTTATTTTTTATTATTTTTTTTATTTTTTTTAGTCATTCTGGCAGATGTTCACGATGTTAGTCGTGAAATTCATGAGGCAGGAAAATATTCCTGACTAATTATAAAGAGCTATTTATAAATGTATCTACACAATCAACAATATCTGAAGTTAACTTAAGTTATATTGTATAATTCCGCTTAAAACCATTCATTGTCTATTATTAGGAAAGAAATTTACCATTGTTTTTGAGTATCAGAAATCTCTGACTGCTGAAGTCTAGCGGTGTCCACCATCTTTTGAAGTTTGGTTTGTGAAGTAAAGATGGGTGAGGAGGTAGAGACAGAGAGGACAGATGAAGAACTGTCAGTCAAGGTTTGTATAATGCAGTACAGTGATAAAAGCAAATGTATCGGCAGCACCAAGGGTGGAATAATAATGTTTCCACTTTAATGTCAGGGGTCTCGTCTGATCTTCTGTTTCTGGAGTAACAAGTGCCAGCTGTTTTAGACCACGGGGAAAGGAAGGAAACTAGGCCTATAACACAAGGGGCAGATCAGTTGTACCTGTTTGCCTTACACAATCAATCTTAAGCTAGGAGCTAATTCTCCAATAAAGAAGCTTGGTCACTGAAAACTTTGTATCCTATTTTTAAACACATTTACACACTTACACAAGTCATACAGTGGGTTAACCGTTTTACATCATGTTTTGAGTCCAGACAAAGCCAAAAAAAAAAAAAAAAAAGACTTGAAAGATGCCTTCCAAGTCTCATGCTATTTTCTTAACAAGGAAATTTGTCAAAATATTAAAAATTGAACATCTGGATTTGGTAATTCATTCAGCACGTTTCACTCCCTCCATGTGCAGAGAATCATTTCACCTCTTCTGCTCTTCTCTCGTCTTCTCTCTGCGCTGTCCTCTTCCTGCTCCAAGAGCGCTCTTGTGTGTAATTAATTATGATTGCGCAGGCTGGCAGCATACGGCTACTGTACTGATTAATTACCAGCAGTGGGAAGAGCTCTTTTTTTTTCCATACTCGTCTTCCCTCCTTTCCCATTTCCCTTGTCTCTCTCCACTTTTTTCCTCGTCTCATTATCTTTCCATTCCTTTTTGTTGCAGGCATCAGAACAGTTTAGGAGCATCCCTGAGCCTATGATTAATGTCTTCTCCACATTGTGTTCAGGCACAATATTGCTGCGTGATTAGCTTTTATGAGTAGAAGGTGGGGCTGCTGGAGGTAGAGCATCTCCACATGAATGCCCTCTGGGCCTCATGTAGAAGAGTTTTTGTGTCAGAGATGTTATAGAATTTTTTTCCCCTTACAATAATGAATCTAATGGCTGAATGCCTACCTGATTGCCTGTATTACTCAAATACGGAACATGAACGCGCTTACAAAATGAATGGCCACTGTCAACAGAGGAGGTCTTAACAAAATGATTATATAGATCAGTGAAATCAGCCTCTCCTCTCTGTGCCACATAACACCCGGCCATAAAATGTCCATAAGGTTCCCCTTAGAACAGGGTTCAAAATTAGGTTAAAAATTTGACTGGCAGGCTAGTTCAGTATTGGTTGGCTGGTGAACGCTGGGTAAAATAATTTAAATAAAATGTACAAAAGAAAAAACCTAAAACTTTCAAAGATATTTTGGTGCATTTGAATGTTTGTCGCCATTTAGGCATCAACAGAAATTACAGTCAATTTGTTTTAATGCCTGAAACAGAAGGATTGATCTTAGTCTTTACAATACATCGCACCAGTGTTTGGTGGGTCACCACGGGCCATAGTTTGCCCAGGTCTGCCTTAGAAGTAGCTACAAACTAAAATTGTCCACTCAGACTGAATCAGTGATCTGGTTTTCACACTGGTCTTCAGAGAAATAAAGCTAAATATAACCTTGTTCTGTTTGACTGATCTCAGCAAAAAAAAAGAAAAAAAAAAGAAAGAAAAACAGCCCAGTCGATTCTCCAAACATTAACATTCAGCTGTTCACACTTGCACTTTGCTCACTCTGACACATCAAGGTTTTTCTTTTGGAGACATCCTATTATCTTTTGGGGGTTGTTGTGTTTTAGTTAGTTTACATTTGAAATTGTTTCCTCTTGATTTTGCAGTAAATATTCTACTTCTGTCGCTTCCTTTTGAAACCAAATGCTGTTGTGGCTTCATTACTGAGATATCAGCATATGGCCTTCAGCTTTTTTTCTGAGACTGGAGACATTAAATTTCAGTGTCTACGACGATATTCACTTTTCAGTCTTTATTAAAGCTTTTCTATTTGTAAAGACGATGAAGTTACACTGTGTGTTGTTTTGAGGTTTTTTAAAAGCATTACTTTCATGGCCAAACATTAAGAAATCACATTCAGTCTGTGACATTGCACAGATTTTTAATTGATATCCATGAATGTGAAGCAAACAAAAACTCCAGCTCCATGCTTAGCATTGGTAAAGCTAAATTAGCGTATCGATTTACATTGATTATATATGAATTCTGTCATATAATGTTTGGTGGGAGTGCAGTATTTTCTTGAATATATACTAGCATGAATTATAGTATTGTGTGTAAATCAGCAAAGATCACATAGATTATGTACCTCCCCTGAAGAGGGTGCTGTAAACACAGTTTAAAAGCCCTTTTGGCATTAGGTGAATGCACTGATTTAATGACATTGTTTCATTTAAATTTTCAGAAACTGTTATGTGAAGTGAACAGTTATGATACATTTTACTTTGTCTTTAAATATCTTGCTGTTAATATTTTTTAGTGTTCTTAGGACAATAAAAGGTAATAATAAAATGATTGTTTGTTGTGACTTGCTATCAGACGTGCCCGGCTGATAATGAATCCCACTGCCAGCCTTTGGCTGTGTGCAGTCTGTCTTCTGAAGGTTGGATGGACAAAACAGATGAATCCTTTGAGGCAAAAAGACCCAAGGAGTGTGTCAGTTGGTCCGGTATTGTGCTTTTAGCTTCCTTGAGGCGATCCAAAGGGAGGTGTGCCACTCTGTCTGTATTAGCTGTTGTTCAGGAGGAATGGGGGTTTTTGTTCCGGTGCCAAGCCTTTCCTCCTCTGGGCAACCGGGTCATGTGATCACGCTGAGGTCTGGGGCCCTGAAACAAACTTGAGTTGTTTTTGTTTACCTGCTTACCGAGTGTTTTGTTGGTTTCCAGGCCGTGCAGGAGTTGCTGGAGTCCTTGGAGCTCGAGAAGAGCAGCTACCACATGGGGCTGAGTCGGGTGAGTGGAGTCACACTTCAGAAACATGCACACTGTTGTTTCCATGTGAGGGGTTCGTTTTCATCATTCAGCTTCTAAGATGGAGTCCTTGGTATTTCTTAGAATATATATAGTCTCTACAAATGTAACTTAACTCACTGCATCAGTTTACTATTTTTATCTTTATCTTTTTTTAATCCATGTTTTTGTTTTAATGTCATTTAAATTACAAGTGGTTGTTAGATCACTGCAACAAACTTTGAAAATGGACCTCATAGCAATTCAGCGCGAGCACTTCATCCTGACAAGATAGTCGGGCCTTTTGTTTTGCCCTTAACAGATGTCCTGGTGTCTTGTCATTCTGTGATGCCCTCAGTCGCACTCATTATTAGCACAATCTTTTTCATTCCTTTCAACTACCGCTTTAGCAGGAGGCGTGGCAGGTTTCAAGTAATCAATGCAGTTTTGTTCCCACTCAGCGACAGGT